AGGACCACTTGGACAGGGCCCGAGGAAAGCCACGGGGCCCGAATGGAGTCCAGGGCGGCTGATCTGCATTCAGAAGGGGCTGAAAGGGAAGCTGGGGGGGGCGTTGCTTGCATGCCTTCAGGGGACCCGGCCCTGAGCCCCCCCCCCCACTTTGGAGGGGGCTAGCCTTCCTCAGCTGCCCAGCCTCAGCTGGAGAGGTGGGGGAGCTTCCTTCCACTGTCCCTCCAGGCTTCTGCAGCTGTTTCAGCTGGGTGGGGGACTGGATTCACTGGGGGGAGAGCCCCCCCTTCCCCTCCCCCTCCCAGAGGAGGTCTGTGCTGGGAAGCCTTTCCTACGTTTGGAAGGAGAGTTTGGGATTCAGGAAATTCGGTGCTTCTCTCCGGATTTGGAATTCCTCTCCTCTTCCCCAAAGATCCCTTCAGCCCCGATGCCAAGCGGGAAGGATCCGCTCTCGCCTTCCAGGTTCCTTCGTCCCATCTTTAAGTGGCCCAAACAGATTCAGTTGTCAGCCCTGGACTTCTTGGGGGTTTGCTGTGCCCACCTCCTGCTCCCGCCCACCCCCGGGGCATCCAGCCCTGGTCTGCTCCAGGTTTTGCTCACTTGCTGGCACTGGCTGGCACGGGAGGGGCCCTTGGCTCTGGGGCAGGGGGGGCAGGGCTGCTTGGCGGACACTGCCCCATGCCAGGTCTCTTGGGCAAGGGACTCTGGATGCGCAGGGCCCTTCTCCAGCCCTGCCCCCACCCAGCCTCCTTCGGCCGGGGCGTCCTTGGGGAGTGGCTGTTACCAGTGGGGTCCCTCTGGTGGTGGTCCTGGGGGGGCATCCACTCAGCCCCCAAATTCCGGAAGAAGAGCAGAGCCCCCCCCACCTCTCAGGCTCCCTCTGGAAATCTCTGGGGAGGGAGAGGGCCCTCCCTGGACTCCTCCTTCCACCTGGGCTGGGGAAGAGGGGACTTGTAGTCCAGCCTTGTGTACTGCAGCTGCCAGCCGGGCTCTGCCCTCGGTGGGCAGGGGGCCTCCTTCCCTCCCCTGGGCAGCTGCCCCTCTTGCTCGCCTGCAGGCTGGTGGAGAGCTCAGCCCTGGGAGGGGCCGGGGGGGGCATCAGGGGAGCTTGGGAAGACCCCTCCCACTGACTCTCTCCTGTCTCCGTCCCCCCCCCCCCGCAGGGCGAGAAGAACCAGGGATTCGATGTCCTTTACCACAACATGAAACACGGGCAGATCTCGGCCAAGGAGCTGGCGGACTTCGTGCGGGAGAGGTACGGCAGGCCCCGCCCCTGGGAGGCCCCCCCTGGGTTTTGGACTACATCCCCCAGAATGCTAGTGGCCCATTGAGCAGCTGTTCTCCCGGCTTATTGCTTTTCCCTGGAGGATGCAACTGACTGCCACAAGGGTGGAGGGGGGAGGGTAGTCCCCAGAGAATGTCTCCCTTCCCTTCCCTGGTTTCCACCCCCTCCCAGACCCCAGAAAACCCACCCACCCACCTGCTGAGTCTATTGTGAAGACCCTGGGCTCCCTCTCTGCTCTCTGCTGCCCCCTGGGGGCCTCTGGGAGTTTCCAAGCTTTATACCGCTGTATAAAACCCTCGCAAGGCCCCACTTGGAATCCCGCAACCGATTTTGGTCCGCGGACTTCAAAAAAGGGAGATTGAGAGTTTGGAGAAAGTTCAGAGAAGAGCAACGGAGACTCTCCAAGGCCCCGAGAGTAAAACAGATGAGGAGAGGCTGCAGGATTTGGGTTTGGTTGGTCTACTATCATAGGGGAGACATGATAGCGGGATTCAGGTATTTGGGGGGCTTCCCCAAAGAGGAGGGGGCCAAATTACAAAGCGCCTGAATGCAGGAGGAGAAACAATGGTTGGAAACTAAGGAAGGAGAGAAGCAGTGAGGACAATCAAGCAGAGGGACAGAGGTTGTGGGCGCTTCTTGAACGGAGGTCCCTCAGGAGGGCCTGGGGCAGCCACTTGTCTAGAATGGGGGAGGGTCTCCTGTTGGGCAGGGGGCTGGGCTGGAAGGCCACCCAGGGGATTGTGGGGGCTAAATCTGCATTGAAGCCGAACTCAAGGCAAGCTGGCATCGGCCATCCCTGCCTTTCAGGCACTAAGCTCCTGGTAGCCCCCCAAATCCCAGAAGAAACAGGGAACTGAGCTGCTGAGAGACGTTTGGGGCGGGTGAACCCCAGGCCTGCTTTCTCAAGGGGGGGCAGCTTTGGACGTGTGGGGTGTGTGTGTTTTTCCAGCCTCCATCCGGGGCTTCAGGGCTCAGCACGGGGG